CACTCCCCCCCCCAACCTGCCTTGGCAGGCCAGCTGGGGAACAGAAGGGGAGGCTTTTGAAGATGCCTCCCCCCCTTTGCTTCCCCTTCTGACATCACTTCCGGTGATGTCAGGGGGCATGGCATATGCTTATTAGGTATGCTAATGAGCTCCTGCAGCTTTTTCTATGAAATGACCCCTGGATAGATCCCTTCAGGTCTTTTTTGGGGTGGGAAAGAGGTGCCGGAACTCTCAAGGAGGAAATGATTTTTTCAATCTGTATACTGAAAACTCCTGAACTTTTAAACATTTTAAAAAGGATTTTGGTGAAGAAAGAACTGGGTGTGATTCCGATTCCCCACACGAAGTCTGCTGGGTGACCTTGGGCCAGTCACAGTTCTTTCAGAACTCTTTCAGCCCCACCTGCCTCACAAGGCACCTGTTGTGGGGAGAGGAAGGGCAGGTGACTGTATGCCACTTTGAGACTCCTTAAGGGAGAGGAAACTGGGGTATAAAAGCCAACCTTTCTTCTTCTAACACCTGGGAGCTGAGATCTTTTTTACTGGAGATGCCGCAGATTGAACCTGGACCTTTCTACTGCCAAAAAAGCACACAGCAAAGCCAAATGAGGAGCATTTCACAGGACAGTTTAGAAGGAGGGAGTCGGTCAGAGTTGAATATTCCCATCAACAGATCGACCTCCTCCTCCTCCCTCTGCCCCAGCTTTGTTTTTCCTGTCAGGTTTTCCTGTCAGGCTCATCTTCCCTTAGTGTAGCTCCATCTCACAGCAGACAAGCAGAGGCTAGATGGACATCTGACAGCAATGCAGTTTCTGTGAATTTAGGTAGATCATGAGAAGGAGGGTGGGAAGGGACGAGCCAGTGCTTGGCTCTTGTGGTCCTTTCTCACATGCCCAGGGTAATGCTAATTGCCAGTTTGGGGTTAGGAAAGAATTTTCCTCCAGGCCAAACTGGCCCAGGGATCTTGGAGGTTTTGGACAAGATGACCCTGGAGGTCCCTTCCAGCTCTATGTTTCTCTAATTGCTGGCTGGCTGTTATTCATCCCTGGCATTTCCAAACTTGAGCAGACAGAAGAGGGGAGTGCTTCATACCCAAAATTGTCCCAGCGTGTTGATGTGCTGTGATTTTAGGAGGGCGTCATCATCACTCTCCATCAGACTCCTGCCGTGAACAACCGCCGCATTGTTTACAAGGATGGTGATATCCCCCACCTGGGGAAAAAAGCAAGAACCCAGTGAATACATCTGTTGTTTTGTCAAACTGTATATCTAGCGCATCTAGCCAGTGTGATATAGTGGTCAGAGTGTTGGACTACGCTCTGGGAGACCCAGATTTGAATCCCTACTGTGCCATGGAAGCTTTCTGGGTGACCTTGGGCCAGTCACAAACCCTCAGTCTGGTCTACCTCACCTTCTTGTGAGGACAGAATACAGGAGAACATCTTAAGATGCTTTAGGTTTCTCATGGGAGAGAAAGCAGGGGGTATAGATTAAATCAATAAATATATACATTTGCTCTTCCTTATAGGTGCTCAATCAGAACACTTCATTATAATTTATCTATTAAGTGAATTGATATGTTGCTTGTCCCATGTCCTGCATCATACAAAGAACACTACAAAAATCATTCTTAAAAATCCTAAGTTATCAATGTAAAAAATAAAACAAGCCATTAAAAAACAAGCCAGGGGCATTAAACCACATGGAAAGCCTTAAAACAAATCCACAAATAGACCAGAAGGGAACCATTAAACAGCTGCGAAGATGAAACTCATTGGGTAAAAAGAAATGTTTTGGCCCGATGCCTGAAAGACAGTACAGCAGGTGCCAGGTGAGCCTCAAGCACCCATGGTTCTCCTTTCCTCCATTTTATCTTTGCAACCATCTTCCTGCAAAACAGGTTAGGCTGAGAGTGTGAGATTGGCCCACAGACATCCACCCAGCTTCCATAATAGAGTGGCAATTTGCTCTTGCACCCCCAAGTCTTAATCCAGCACGCTAAACATTACACGACACTGCCCCTCATTTTGTTGCCCCCTTTCACCAAGCTGTGCTCCAAGTTCTCCCCTACTCCCACAATCTTCCTATGGACGCAGCTGTTCCAGTGTGTCAGACAAGGTGTCCCATCTGTTTCAAAGGAGGCTGTGGAATCATAGCAATACTGGTGTTCTTTTTTCCCATGGCAATGAATGGAGTGGTGCAGGCATCCAGGGCAATCCATACGCACACTGTACATGTGTGGAGTTCTAGGAACGGGAACCAAGCTGAGTACTTTAAAAACTGGCATATTTTAGCAACTAGAGTAAAGACGCCAGCGGACAGGACTCTTGATGGATTGGATAGGATTCCTGACAGGATAGCACAGGATTCCTGACAGACTGCACCTTGCATCTCTTTAGCTGTGCTTCACTTAGCCGGGGCCATGTGTCATTCTGGATGCAATTCTCTGACCCTTAACCTATATCTGAGGAGCTAATTATGGGTCCTTGGAGCGGGCTCTAAGCTGCAGGGTGGGGATGGAGCTCAGCTAGATGTTGTCTAGCTCCTGCCCCTCCCAGGCAGGGCCATGACACAGACAGAGAAGGCAGACAAGTGAACTCCTGCTCCTAGTTGTCTGTGCTCACCTGCCTGGGCAGACAAGCATCTGTTCCTGCTAGAAAAATCACAGTTTATGGTCAGCAGCTGCTGCTCTTAGTAGCCATCGCTATCTCCTCAAGTAGGTAAGCAAAGACGGAACATTGCCATACATCTAGTATAGCAGGAACAATAGAAGAGGAGAAACCATGGTTTGTGAAGGTATACATCCACTGAATCCCCACAATACAAGCAAACCAGCCCAATCATTCCAGAAGGCACAGCCTTTCCAAGGAAACCTAATCCCACCGCTGCCACCATGTAGATACATAGAAAGAGGGGCCATGACAATTGCTGCTATTGCACATTGGTAGGCCCTCTGAGGCTGCCCAATGACACCCTGAGACTACTCCTGTGTTGACAGAAAGCAGTTCTAGTCTTCAGATGCGCACTGGTTTAAACTGATTGACCATGGTGACCCACTGACCCAATCCAAAAGGGAACTGGCTCTGACCCCCTTTTCCAATATATGATAAAAATATGCAACCAGGTTCCCTCTAACCCCTGCCTTTCGGACTCAACCTCATCAAAGGGTTGGCAGATCCTCTTCTAAGTAGTCCATGCTGAAAGAGGAAAGGTCTTGGATTTCCACCCACCTTTTCACGGACGGCTTTGGCCTGCTGGTAGACTTCCTCCCGATTCCCCACATCACAGATGAAGTAATAGCACTCCGTGCCCATCACCCGGATCTCCTCTGTAGTCTCCTTCAGGCACTTCTCAGTTCGACCCCACAGGATAACCTACAACAAGACAATTCTTTATAGTTAGGGAGGCTGGCAGAAGTTGTGTGGGTTGTTTATGTGGTCTATTTTTCTGGGAACCCAAGGTAGTATACAAGAGAGGTCCCAGAACATCTCCCATCCAGGTACTAACCTGACCCATAGCTTCTTAGCATCAACAAAGACATTTTAAAAATCCTTGTGTGCAAACACCCCTTCCCACAGCTCTTTATGTGGTCTTGGCATTGTGGTACCTGATGTTTTGCCAGCAGCTGTGACTGGCATCCTCAGAGGTATAAAACAGAAAAATGGAGTACTCTCTGTGTCAATGTGAGTACTCCATCTTTTTGTGTTATACCTCTGAGGATGCCAGTCACAGCTGCTGGAAAAATGTCAGGTATTACAATGCCAAGACCATGGCCATACAGCCCAGATAATCTACAACAACTAATGAAGTCTGGCCATGGAAGCCTTCGCCAACATAGCTCTGAAAGAACTTGTAACTGACCCAAGGTCACACCAGCAGCTGCATGTGGAGGCATGGGGAATCAAACCCAGTTCTCCCAGATTAGAATTCGCACTCCTAACCACTACATCAAACTGGCTCTTTTGTTATGATATAAAGAAGTTCCACTGAATTCCCATAATGCAAGCAATCATGTCCCTGTCTAACCAAAAAGTGGGGTCAAACTGACCCAGAACAGTAGTGGAAAAACTTGGTTTGCAATCTTCTACAATCAGCTTATCCCTCAGCCTCAACAAATCAATTGTCCTGTGGTGCTTCACTCCCTCTTCATTATAATGTTTGGTAAATTGCAGTGCATACTCTCTCTGGAGATGCTGGGGGCACTTTTACCCCCCCGGTTCCACTAAAAGGCAAACGGAAACAAGCAATTGGAAGGAAATGAACAAAATTATATGTTCTTATATTTTCTCCCTGCTGTTATTCTTTTCCTCAATGAAAGGTCACTTTTCGTTCCAATTTGCAGCCTGAATCCTGCTTAATGAAACCCCCATATATATTTCCTTCTATTTCCATGGCGTACATTAGCATTTATCTGATCTCTTACACCAGACTAATAGAACTGATTTTTCACTAGGGCTTAGGATGAGTGAATTCCCCAGCTCTGGCTTGTCATCTCTCTGATTACTTGCAGTTAAGCATTATTTGTTTATTTATTTACTTCAGTTATACCCAGCCTTTTCCCTCAATGAAGACCCAAAGCAGCTTACATCGGTCTCCTCTCCTCCATTTCATCCTCACAACAACCCTGTGAGGTAGCTTAGGCTGAGAGCATGTGACTGGCCCAAGGTCGCCCAGCAAGCTTCCATGACAGAGGTGTTTTTTTTTTCAAAACAGGGTTTCCCAGATCCTAGTCTAACCCACTAAGCACTACACTTAAATGGCTCTCTTTTTCTGCTCCTCTCTTTAGAATTCCTTTTTGCTCCCCCCCCCCTTGAGGATGTATCTTCAATTGCTGTTTAGTGTGCCATTTCATATGTGCTTGACAGAAGGAATACTGCGGTCATACACTGTTCCACAAAACTGAACATGTATACAGAGCAGGGGCAGCAGCCCTTGTTTGGAGTGGGGGAGATAGAAGGCAGGCTTGGGCCTCTGCACAAACCTATGGGATTCTGTGAGTCCTAAAACCAACACTGGGAAATACATAAACATATAAGTGAACACTCGCATCCTAGAGGAGGGGTCCCCAACCTTTTGGTGCTCCTGAGCACCTTTGGAATTTTGAGAGGGGGTGATAAGTGCCACCCCAACCCCAAAATGGCTGCCACTGAAGGCGATGCCAAGCCCAAAATGGCTTCCATGGGAGGCGGAGCCAAGTGGAATATCTCCCTACTCACACCTCCTGGGAAGAAGGAAATCCTGAAGGGCAAACAGAACCACAGGCTAACTAAGCAAAGCAAAGGTGCTTACCAATCCTCCTGACCCTCCAGTGGAAAACCCGTCATTTGAATAAGGGCAGCCAATCACAAGCCCTGCCTTACAATGGCCCCACCCACTTTCTGAGAAGCTTGGCAGCCACCATGGGAAGTAGCTGTATAAATATATAATGGTAACACAGTGAAAGCAAGTTTGATACGAAATCACAAATACAAAATTAGAATACAGGTGTTCTCTGAAGTGGTCAGTGACTAATATATTCATACTTCTTCAATATGGTCCACACAGGACCTTGGCTGTACAGGAAGAGGGCTTGGCTGTACTCTAGAATATTGAATTGTATTTAAGGAGTGCTGTGTGGACCATCTTCAATAAGTACGAATATATTAGCCATTGACCACTCCAGAGAAGGCCTTGGCTGTACAGGAAGAGAGTTTGGCTGTATTCTAATTTATTTAAGATGTTTAAGGAGTAGTGGGCTTGCAGCTCAACATAAAAAAAACAAAGATCATGGCATCCGGCCCCATCACTCCTTGGCAAATAGAAGGGGAAGTCGTGGAAGTAGTGAAAGACTTCACGTTCCTGGGATCCCAGATCACCGCAGACTGTGACAGCAGCCATGAAATTAAAAGACGCCTGCTCCTTGGGAGGAAAGCGATGGCGAACCTCAACAGCATGATAAAAAGTAGAGACATCACCCTGCCAACAAAAGTCCGCATGGTCAAAGCAATGGTATTCCCAGTAGTCATGTATGGCTGCGAGAGCTGGACTATAAGGAAGGCCGAGCGCCGAAGAATAGATTCTTTTGAACTATGGTGCTGGAGAAGACTCTTGAGAGTCCCTTGGACTGCAAAAAGATCAAATCAGTCAATCCTAAAAGAAATCAACCCTGACTGTTCCCTGGAAGGCCAGATAATGAAAATGAAGCTCAAATACTTTGGCCACCAAATGAGAAGGGAGCACTCACTAGAGAAGACCCTGATGCTGGGAAAGATTGAAGGCCAAAGAAGACGGGGACGGCAAAGGATGAGATGGTTAGACAGTGTCAGCGATGCAACGAACATGAAATTGAGCCAACTTCGGAGGACGGCGGAAGACAGGAGAGCCTGGCGGGAGATTGTCCATGAGGCAGCCCAAAAATGCAAGCAAAGAAAGGAGGAGATGGAGAGCAACTGGGATCATTCTGATGCTTCTGAGTGGGCAGATCAAATCTGGCAGAGATGTTTCACGTTGGAGGTAGCCAACAGTGTTCCCTCTAAGCTGTGGAGTCTTGTGAGTAAAAATTCTACTTTGTGAGCTACTGGCATTAAAGTTGTGAGCGAGTGATTTGGCTACTGTGTGAATTAGTTTGCTCTGGAGCAGTGTTCCCTCTAGGCTGAGTTAGTGTGAGCTAGCTCACAGTTTTTTAGCCTCCGTCTCACACATTTTTTGTCTTCGCTCGGGAAGGAGGGCTCCAGAGCAAACTAAGTTATGCAGCAGCCAAATCGCTCACCACTTTAATGCCAGTAGCTCACAAGGTAGAATTTTTGCTCACAAGACTCCATAGCTTAGACGGAACATTGCAGTCTGGAGCCATCCTCCCTGAGCTAAGACAAAAAGGTGTGAGCCGGAGGCTAAAAAAACCTGTGAGCTAGCTCACGCTCACTCAGCTTAGAGGGAACACTGGTAGCCACTAGGGTGAACTTCCACTCAAGGCCTATTCACACATGCAAGGCCACTCTTCACCTGTATTCAAGTTAACCCTCCCTCCCTCCACTCCTCTGGATAATATTTGCTCAGGCAGCTAACAACAAAGGAACAGTTCGAACCAATAGTATTGCAAACTACACCGGCCAGAAGCCTTGGGAGAGAGGCCATTCCCTGCTCTCGTTTTCTTTTCACGTAGGCGCAGCTTTCATACTACCAAGATGACAAGTTCCCCTGGTGACGGCTGCAAGAGCAATGCTAAGCAGGTCGACTCAGAATCCGAGTCATGTCTATTCAGCGGGGCTTGCATCCAGGAAAGTGTTTGTAGAATTGCCCTGTTACGGTGCAGTCCTAAGCAGAATTTACACCCTCCTAAGCCCACTGGCTTCCATGGATAAGTGGTTAAGACGCTGAACTGCAGACCGGAAAGTCGATAGTTCAGCAGTTCGAGACCCGAGTGCCGCATGATGGAGTGAACTCTCGTCTCTGGTCCCAGCTCCTGCTAACCTAGCAGTTTGAAAGTAAGAAATTGCAAGTAGATAAACAGGTACCGCTTCGGTGGGAAGGTAACAGCGTTCTGTGAGCCTCGGCATCTAGTCATGCTGGCCACATGACCACGGAAATGTCTTTGGACAGCGCTGGCTCTTCAGCTTGGAAACGGAGATGAGCACTGCATCCCTAGAGTCGGATTCGACTGGCTTTCAAGCAAGGGAAACCTTTACCTTTACCTAACTGTTGCCCCGGTCACACGGAGCATTAGGCACGCTAGAGAGACGGAAGATAGGTGGATTTTCTGGGCGCGATCTCACCGCCACATCTGGGAAGCGTAGAGCTCCCGTGGCTCACCCGAGGCTTCACTCCGAAGATGCGCTGTAAAAACTAGTACCTCCGAGGTACTAGTTTCCGGAAACTGCGGGGCAAGGGCAGGCGTCAGATCACGTTTCTGGTGTTAGCTCGTGTCATCCGGCGTCCGCCCATGTCCCGTCATGAAAAGTGTTTTTTTGGGTCAAGTCTCCATGGGTGCGCAGAAGCACCCAACGGCGCATGTGAACACTTGGGTTAAAAAACACAACACAACCCCTGCGGCGCCACTTCTTTGCCGCACCGCAGGAGTGAGGTATGATCGGCACCTCCCCCCAACCACGGGATGTCGGCGGGACATCGGGCAGGATGTTTGATCCAGCTGCCACGCGGTAGTTCGCTCCGGGGCAAACAGCCACCCCCCCGCGATATCCGGTCCGTGTGACCGGGGCCTGTGTTTAGGATTGCACTGTTACCCTCCTTCAGAGTAACTAAGAAAATCAGGCCTAAAACTACCATAGTGATTGCTAAGATTTCATACAAACGTACCCATCAATTGAGTACCCAATGCTGCCACATATTCCGAAGTTTAGGAACAAAGAACAGGGCCTTCTCTGTTGTGGTGCCCTGG